AGCTCCAGCAGCTCCAAGCTTCAGGGGGCCCACCACGTCCATCACCACCTCATCAAGTGGTGCCTTAGTCGTTGCCTCCGAACTAGAGAACGGGTAACGGGTGAACTTGGCTTGCATGCACGTCGGGCAGCCAAGTACCTCATCGGGCTCCCCCTTCACACGTATGCCAGCAACCATCTCATTCTTCACTAGCTGCTGCAAGATGGGCAGGGCCACATGCCCCATTCGCCGATGCAAGGTGAGCCAATCACACTCCCCCGTAGCCGAAGTCGGATTGGAGAATGCCGCACTCGCAATAGTGCCCCACATGTTCTCTCCGTACTCCTCCTCCACTACTGCCTTGGGGTTCTCCTCACCCTTGTGCTGCTCCTTGGCTGCTGCACCACTCTCCTCATGTTCACCAAGCTTGCTGGTCCCTCCAAGATTGCACTTCTTGGACTCAATCTCCTTAGTGTGACCGTTCGCGCCATCACCGCTACCAACCGCTTCACCCTTGGTGCTGATGCTTGCTGCCACTTGCCTTTCCTTAGGCATGGGTACCACAGGGATCTGCCACATCTCGTTGTAGACATCCCTATCCTCGTGAAGGTCCCAAAGAATCCGCTCACCAAGCCTCGCGGTGTAGGTCTTAGCTCCCTTCGAGCTCGTGTCCATGCCGGCCTTTTGCAACCGCCGCACGGAAATCAAGTTGGCAGCAAGGTTGGGCACCCAAAGCACGTTCTTGAGGCCCACCATCTTCCCATCAGTACCCTTGAAGATGGCCTTGCCCATGCCTTTCACCTCTGCTCGCTGCCCCAAAGCCGATGTCACATGCTTCACCAGTGACGGCTCAAGTTCGGTGAGCAAGTCCGCATGAGGTGTCATGCTATAGGTAGCGCCGCTATCGATCACCCAATAGTCCAGGGAGTGTAGGGTGACCTTTCCCACAGCTGCTGGCTCCTCAAAGCTTTCATCATTCTCTGGACCAGCCGGTGCTTGCGTGGACACGAAGAAGAATTGACCCGGGAAGCGATCGTCCCTCGACTCGCTCTCGTTGCCGGCACTCTTCATACTTGCAGCACCACCTCCGCGACCGCCACGGCCTCCACGGCCTCTTCCTCTCCCTCCTCCTGCTCCTCTACCCTCTTGGCCTTGAGCAGGAGTCCATCCATCAGGGAGTTTGTAGCAATCGCGCCACATGTGTCCGCTTTTGTGGCAAAAATGACACTCGCCGTCGAACCGTCCGCGACCGCGTCCGTTGTTCTTGTTGTCATTGCCGTATCCGCTACTCCCGCGGCCTCCGTTGAAGTTGCTGCCTCCAAACCTTCCTCCTCCTCGTCCTCTGCCCCTTCCACGGCCATATCCACGGCCGATGCTTGCTGCCCCGGCGCCATCCGCACTCGCCAACTTACGGCGACGGAAATCTTCTTGAAGGATCGCTCGCTTCACGTCTTCGAGCGAGAGGCGGGGCAAGTCACGATTGAGGTTGATGATGAGAGAGGACCATGACTCTGGGAGTAAGGCCAGCAACTTGGTCTTCTTTTGGAGCTCACTGTAGTTCAAATCAGCTCCCTCAAGCCGCGTCAACAAGTCGAAGAATTTCTGCACCCCTTCTTCAACCGCTTCGTCTTCGTCAATTCGGACCTTTTTCCATGACTTCTTCCAGACCTTCTCCCCTACCCCAAAGATGACCACTCTTCGGGTGCTGCTGCACGTCGCCGCTCAGCGTGACTACGAGCTACTCTCGCTTGACTTCAGCACAGCCTACCTACAGGGCAGCCTGCACGAGGAGATCTGGTTGCGCCGCCCACCTGGCTTCACTGGCTCGTTTCCTGCTGGTACCCAGTGGAGCATCCGGCGGCCAGTCTACGGTCTCCGCCAGGCGCCCCGTGAATGGCATGACACACTGAGGACGACTCTTGCTGCTCTTGGTTTTGTTCCTTCCACTGCTGACCCGTCGCTGTTTCTACGCACCGACACCACTCTGCCGCCGTTCTACGTTCTTGTGTACGTAGACGACTTGGTCTTTGCTACTGCTGACACTGAGGCACTCGCCCACGTGAAGTCGGAGCTGCAGAAGAGACACACGTGCACAGACCTGGGTGAACTGACAATCTATCTTGGCTTGCAGATCACCCGGGACAGAGCACAGCGCACCATTACCCTGATTCAGTCACACATGGTGCAGCAGGTCCTTCAGCGCTTCGGCTTCACGTACTCCTCGCCACAGTCCACTCCTCTGCCTACCGGTCACTCGCTCTCAGCTCCACCTTTGGACGAGTCCGTAGAGTCGAGTGGCCCGTATCCAGAGCTTGTGGGCTGCCTCATGTACCTCATGACTTGCACACGACCTGACCTCGCGTACCCTCTCAGCCTTCGGGCTCGCTACGTGGCTCCCGGCAGGCACCGAAAGGTGCACTGGGATGCTGCGAAGAGGGTGTTGCACTACTTGTGTAGTACGTCGGGCATTGGGCTCGTGCTTGGAGGACGGGCTCGAGTTGTCCTCACTGGTCACGCAGACGCTTCCTGGGTTGACGAATTGGCTACGCAGCGGTTGTCACAGGGTTACACCTTCAACCGTGGCTCCGGTTCTGTCTCTTGGCGGTCTACCCGCTCGTCTTCTGTTCTCAGCTCCAGTTGTGAGGCTGAGATCTACGCTGGGGCCATGGCTGCACAGGAGTTACGCTGGCTCACCTACCTGCTGACCGACTTGGGAGAGGCGCCTCGTTCTCCTCCAGTTCTGTACGTCGACAACAAGGCAATGCTTGCCTTGTGTCAAGAGCACAGACTGGAGCACAGAACGAAGCACATTGCTCTGCGCTACTTCCTTGCTCGAGAGTTGCAGTAGCGTGGTCAGCTTCGTCTTGCTTACGTGGCCTCTTCGGCCAACACTGCTGATGTTTTCACCAAGGCACTTCAGCCTTGTGATCATCAGCGTTTCTGTACTGTTCTAGGCCTTGTACCTACTGTGCCTCACTTGCTTAATTCTTGACTCTGCTTGTACTGTGATCTCTATACATATACCTGCATGCTTACACTTGCTAGGTTGTGATCACTGTATTGCTTGTTCTCCTTTATATAACTCTGCATGTGAACTGGCCTTGTGGCCATTTGCTTGTGCTCAGAATGTGTGGTGACTTTGTGATCCACCCTGAGCTTGCTTTGCCTTTCCTGACCGGTCTTGTGACCTCTTGTTCTCCCCCACTTTGCCGATAGGGGTGTGTCAAACTTATATGCTATAGTCTGTTTAAGCTGTGGTGGGGTAGTTCATATAGGGTACAACACTTTTAGGTTTCCTACTTGTACCCACCTGCTTGCTAGTTCATTCACTTCGTTCACGATTCTGACAACCCCCTCAATTACCCCAGCGTGCGGTTAGGGCGTGTAACCATTTTGACTGTTTCGTTTCACCAAAACGAACATTTAAAAATATGCCGTGTTACTGTCTTCGTCAAGGGATTGCACGATTTCTTTCAAACCGAGTTTCGTGCGAACCCTTAAAGCCCAAGACCTAAATTACTCAACGCAAGTCAACAGGGGCAAAATTGCAGGTTGCGGCAGGCAAACTGTGCACAGTTTGCCTTCTTATTTTGTAATCCGGGTCTTGGGCTGTAACGAAGACACTAACACTTCTTCGTTAAAACGGGTCATTTTGGAAAAAAACGAAACGTCAAAATGGTGACGCGCCCTTATTGTTTCTACAATACACCATAGAACCACCAATTCACAAGTAACAAGGTCAACACCGGTGATTACATTACCTCATATGAAAAAAAAAAAAAAATGTTTGACACCATTTGTTAAAAAAAGAAAGGTGCCTCGAAGGTATACCTCTGAAGCATGCACCGATTGCACAAACTTTCTTGCAATGGTTCAACTGAGACATAAACTTATACCATTCGGAATATCATTATCCGAGAGGAGCCCAATTTCGCTCTCCAATAGCGGTAGTCGTGCAGCTGTCCATCGACAGGATGAGAGATGAGGAAATGGGAACGATGTGATGTATAAATTTCAAGGATGTTTGCAAGGGAGATTGAAGGGTGAGATGGGAGGGGGACAATGATTAATGGGAAAGGGGAACAGTAGTGGGTTGGTTGGGAAGGACAAATGGGAGAGGGCAGGACGGACAAATGGGAAAGGGAGGGATGGGTAAGGAGGTGTTAGAGACTAAGGACGGAGTCTATGAAGATTAAGGGCCGAAATATCTCAAAATCGTCAACTATAATTCTGGACAGAAACGTCCTCGTCACAAGAAACGTCTTTGACAAAACACGCTCTGTCAGAATTCTCTCAAACTTGAGTATGTTGTAGCCCTTGACCGTGGCTATCTTTCCCAATTTGAATAGTTTCAAAATATGAAGCATAACTCGAGTTATGAAATTCGGCGCACTAGGGGGTAAGCTGCCATAGAAACTTAACTCAATCACAAAGTTGTCTCACAAGTTCACACAAGAAAGTTGGAGTAGCAAGAACCAGGTAGAAGGGGATGAAGAGGACGAGAGGGAAGGTCCCAAGAGAGTCCCCAACCAAGGAAACCCCATACCACACAATTCCCCCCTCTATAGGCACCCCAACGTTGACATTTGTCACTTTCCCAACTCATGCCATCCACCTCACCCAACTTGGCCACACTTGCCAACCTGGTTTGGCTTCTCCCAACCACTTGGCATCATCTACAGTGATGGTGACGAATTTACCAACCCCCAAAAGTCTGTACCCCATATTGAGTCAACCCGCAAATTCCCATAGTCGCTGCATCACAATAAAAAACTTTGAACGATCATATATTTCTTGTTCTTGCTTCGATCGCGATGATTCTTGGTTCGTCGGAAAGCTCTTGAGCAGAGAAGTCACTTCAGATGTCTGCCCAAGCCAAATAACATTCACACACATACACAGAAAATCCAAACCACACCAAACACAGATTCTTGCACACACACCACGCATGCAACGCACGAACATATGATGGGAGGCAGACAGACGTGAATGCAAGTGATAGGATCACATAACAGGAGGAATCAGAGGGAAGGACAAGGGGAGAAGGAGAGAGCAACAAATGGAAAGGGAAGGATGAGCAAGGACGAAACAGAGGGAAGGACAAGGGGAGAGGGAGGGAAGGACAACTGGGAAAGGGAAGGATAGGCAAGGAGGAAACAGAGGGGAGGACAAGGGGATAGTGAGGGAAGGACAAATGGGAAAGGGAGGGATGGGCAAGGAGGAAACAGGGGGAAGGACAAGGGGAGAGGGAAGGAAGGACAACTGGGAAAGGGAGGGATGGGCAATGAGGAAAGAGAGGGACGGACAGGGGGAGAGGGAGGGAAGGACGAATAGGACAGAGAGGGATGAGCAAGGAGGAAATAGAGGGAAGGACAAGAAGAATAGTGAGGGAAGGACAAGGGGGAAAGGTAGGGATGGACAAGGGGAGATGGGGAATGGGAAGGCGTGAAACCGAGGGTGGGGCATAGGAGGATGTCCCATTGGGGCATGGGGGCAGGGGGGAATGCCATGGAACAAACAAGGGTTAAAGCGACGGATGGGAGAAGGAAAAAGCAAGGGATGGGTAGGGGGGCAAGGGGACAAATAGAAGCAGGGGAACGCAGTGGGATGGGAGAGGGAGAGTATGTCAGGAAACTAAAGGAAGGAATGAAACAGAGAAGAGGGATTTCACTAGCAGGCAGTTGAGTACATATAACAAACCCTAAATTGGGCTGTACTCGTTATAGGCTAGACAAATATAACATTCTGACACACCCCCATAGCCAAAGTGGGGTGTAATCAGCACAATAAGCAAGCAGAGCAATAGTTCAAAATAATAAGTAAAGCTAGAAGCTATCATAGAGGGCAAGTGTGGAGGAGGAGGGACTATGAGAGGAGAGGAGGTAGTGGGCGGCAGCTGAAGCTGCTGGCACACGGCGCAACTGGAGCAACTAGCACACGGGCAACTGGAGCAACTGGCACACTGGCAACTGGAGCAACTGGCACACGGGCTACTGGAGTAACTGGCTCCGCGGCGAACTCTGAGCGGCAGGAGCAACGGACCCACGGGCGACTGGAGCAACGGGCTCACGGGCAACTGGAGCGACGAGCTCATGGGCGACTGGCGCAACGGTCCCCCGGGCGACTGGAGCTGCTGGCTTCACGGCGGCCACCCCCCTTCAACCTCCCCAAACTGTCCCACACCCCTTTCACACACCCCCTGCTGCACCCCTAGCTTCACTCCCACGACACCCTCCTAGCACCACTCCTTCGGCTCCCACACACCCACCCCCCTCAGCGGCAGCTACAGCAGTGGGAGACGGAGAAGGAGGAGGAGGGGACAGTGCACACACCCGCCACCCCCATACCCCCAACCCAGGGCAGAAACGCGGGCAGCTGCAGGGGCGGCGCGCGGACCCCCAGGGCGCCTCGACGGGCAACAGGAGTGGGGGCCGCGCGGGCCCCCGAGGGCGCCACGACGGGCGACGGGAGTGGGCCGCGCGTGGGCCCCCGAGGGCGCCACGACGAGCGACGAAAGTGGGGGCCACGCGGGCCCCCGATGGCGCCACGACGGGCGACAGGAGTGGGGGGGCCGCGTACGAGCGACAAAACCGCCGCACGCCCTGGGGCGCGCGACGGGCAGGGCGTCGCGCGGCCACCAGGGCGGCGCGACGGGCAGAAAACCGCCGCGCGCCCCGAGCGCACGGCGGGAAGAAAAAATGCCGCGCCCATGGCGCGTGGCAGGCAGAAAGAACGGCGTGCGCCCGAGGCGCGCGATAGGCAGGACAGCAGTAGCGGAAGCTAACGGTGGGCCCATGCACAGGATCGACCCGGGAGGGTCGACCTGCTCTGATTCCATGTCAGGAAACTAAAGGAAGGAATGAAACAGAGAAGAGGGATTTCACTAGCAGGCAGTTAAGTACATATAGCAAACCCTAAATTTGGCTGTACTCGCTATAGAGTACCCCACTGCAGGCTAGACAAATATAACATTCTGACAGAGTAGTGCTTTGGGATGCCGTCACGTCAACCCGCCGTCGCCGCTCGCTGTAGCAGCACCGACAGATCTGGTTGGGTGCAGGGCGTAGCACCAGCAGCAGCACCTAGAGCATCTAGTTGGGTGCAGGGCGTAGCACCAGCAGCAGCACCTAGAGCATCTGGTTGGGTGCAGGACGTAGCAGCAGCAGCACCCAGTGCATCTGGTTGGGTGCAGGGCGTAGCAGCAGCAGCACATTGAGCATCTGGTTGAGTGCAGGGCGTGGTGGCAGAGGCCCTGCGAGGCAGCAGCTCGCAACTGAGCCTCCACCGCTGCTGCTGCTGCTGCTTGCCATCGCTATTCGCCGCTGTTGCCTCCTCTTCACTGGAGTAAACATACCAGTAGCATGGGAATCACGGTGAATGGGATGAATGGGGCATGCAATGAATGGGGCAGGGGAAGCATGGAAAAGAATGAGTGAATGTATGGCGTGACCTCTTGCAGGAGCTGTAGCTCTGCCTCTACTCCACAGGTATGCACGAGAAGCACAGATGGGATTGTTGGGGCGTGGAAATTGACGAATGGGAGAATGGATGACTGGCGAATGGATGACTGGCCTCACAACCTGCAGACGCCGCAGCTCCGCCTCCTCTCCACTGGTGCGCACAAGCAGCATGGGTGAATGGGCCATGGGAAAGTATGGAAACGCATGAGTGAATGCATTAGCACGACCGCGTCTTCTGCAGACGCTCCAGCTCTGCCTCTTCCCCACTGGGGCGAGTGGGAAGCATGGGATGGGGTTGGTGGAAACGTCAATGATTTCTGAACAGCTATTGAGAATGCAAAAAAAACTATTAACGCTGGAGTGGTCGCAAAAGATGCGCTACTGCTACCCGATTAGAACAAACTTCAACCAAGAACGGATATACCCAAACTACGGCCCTTGCACATAAACCTTTTCCCGAAAAGGTCCCGGCACCGAGTGCTACAAGGAGCTGGACAAAGTGTACAGCGATTTTCTATGCCTTACCGCACGCGGGCTTAAAGGGGAGCACTACACGATCACATTCATCGATGCAGTTACGCAATTCGTCTGGGCCACTAACGTCTCTAGCCGCGACCTCGACTTTGAGTGCTTTGACCTCTGGCTGAAGGTGGCACAATCACATTGAAGGCCTTCCAAACGGACGGAGCAGCAGAGTACGTCATTGAAAAAATCAAGAAGCTCTGCGCGAAGAAGGGGATCAAGCGGATGATTTCGCTAACCTATGCTCACGAGCAGCAGGGTTTGGCGGAACGAACCAACAGGGGCCTCGTGAAAAAATTGAGGGCACTCATGAAGCAGTCAGCTGTGCCGACCATCTATTGGCCCTTCGCGATGGCCCATGTTGTGCGGCTGCACAACATTCTCTCCTCCAAAGCCCTGCCCAACAATAGCTCACCTTTCATGGAGTGGACTGAAAAGAGTCTAGACGCACGAATGCTCCGGGTCTTCGACTGCACGGTACGGTACAGACCCCACACTGCCCGAAGAGGAACATTTGAAGACCGAGCCCATTGGGGCATTCACCTCGGCATCGAGCAGGAGTACCATGCATGGATAATCCTCGACTTTGCCACCCACCAAGTCACGCGTTCACGTGATTGCATCTTCTACGAAAATCTGAAGCTGCCACTGTTATGCCAGCAACACACAGGAAGCACCTGACAACATCCTCCAGGGTGGCACAGCTACGCAAGCGACCAGGATGAGGTTGACGTGGCAGAACAAGTACCAGAATATCAATTCATGGGAGAGGCACATTTCGTCCCCGTTATAGGAGAGTTCGGCACCGCAACGTTCATCCCAACCGAACCTGATCCAAACGAATCAGTATAGGCACCACATAATTACGAAAGTGCTGACATACACTCACCCATGGAGGAAGACCCAACCCCTCTCGCGACACCGTTCGCGAGATGTCTAGCGATGATGACAACGTGGTCGAAGTAACCAACACACCTGATTCTAACCTCACCGGACTATTGTCAGAAAGAACGAACGAGAATGAATGAACTAGCAGAGAGTTGGGTACAAGTACTAACCCTAATTGGGTTGTACCCCTTATGGGTAACCCTACTACAGCCTACACAATGTAAGCTATATATAAGTTTGACACACCCCCATAGGCAAAGTGGGGGAGAACAAGTGGTCACAAGACCAGTCAAGAAAAGCAAAACAAGCTCAGGGTGGATCACAAAGTCACCACACAGTCCGAGCACAAGCAAAGTGCCACAAGGCCAGTTCACGTGCAGAGTTATATAAAAGAGAACAAACAATACAGTGATCATACCCTAGCAAGTGCAAGCATGCAGGTATATATAAAGATCACAGTACAAACATAGTCAAGTAGTAAGCAAGTGAGGCAAAGTAGGCACAAGGCCTAACACAGTAGCGAAGCGCTGATGATCACCAGGCGGAAGTGCCTTGGTGAATGCATCAGCAGTGTTGGCCCTAGTGGCCACGTACGCAAGACGAAGCTGGCCACGCTGCTGCAACTCTCGAGCAAGGAAGTATCGCAGAGCGATGTGCTTCGTTCGGTGCTCCAGTCTGTGCTCCTGACACAAGGCAATCATGGCCTTGTTGTCTACGTACAGAACTGGAGGCGAACGAGGCTGCTCTCCCAAGTCAGTCAGCAGGTAGGTGAGCCAGCGTAGCTCCTGTGCAGCCATGGCTCCTGCGTGGATGTCAGCCTCACAACTGGAACTGAGAACTGAAGATGAGCGGGTAGACCGCCAGGAGACAGAGCCGGAACCGAGGCTGAAGGTGTAACCCTGTGACGACCGCTGCGTAGCTGAGTCATTCGCCCAAGAGTAGTCATCTTTGGGGTGTGGGAGAAGGTCTGGAAGTAGTCAACTCCCTGTCGCTGGCTGAAGCCTTGAGCAACGTAACGCGCCTTGAAGGCAGGCGGAGAACCCGGCGGCCGCTTCACCCTGAAAATCCACATGCCATTGACTATGTTCGCCCCAGGTGGGGGAACCTCGTCGACGTAGGTGCCTGTGGACTTCCAGGATGCCATCTCGGCATCCATAGCTGCCTGCCACTGAGAGGAGTAAGGACCCGTAATCGCCTCTGCGTAAGAGCGCGGGGTCGGGATGTCTGGAGTATCCGGGTCTCCCTCAGGGGCAAGCAGCAAGGAAGCAAAACGAGGTACAGCAGCTGCAAGACACTCAAAGTCCTCCTGCCTGTCCTCAAGGACGTCTGTGCCAAGAGCACACTCACCCCCGACGGACGGAGGACTGGCAGGCACAGACTTAGCAACTAGAGCAGAGGCATAGTCGAGACGGCAGGTAGCAGCAAAGTCAAGCAGCTCAGCAACGAGAGCAGACGCAGCAGCAGACTCAAAGGACGGGTGAGTGACAGCAATGGCAAGGAGACGAGCGACAGTGGGACTGGCAGCACGCGCTCGGTCAGACTCAGGGTCAGGGACCTTAGGAAGAGAGGACTCAGGAGGAGCAGGCAGAGGAACACGCAGTGGAACAGAGGAAGGACGGAGTGCCATAGTGTGCGTGCCTGGGACAAGAGGAGGACGTAAACGAGGGGCGCGAAGAGCAGTGTGAACAGGCAAGACAGGACGAGACGCAGGCTCACGACGCTCTGTAAGACAGCCTGTCTGCTCAGTGTAAGGAGAAGGAGCAGGCAGTGGGGAGGCTGGCTGTAACGGCGGCTGCGACTGGTCAGGCGGTGGACACAGGAAGGGAGGAGGAAGACCAGTAGAAGACGGGACACCAAGAACCTGCTGAAGCAGGGGAACAAAGTACGGACGCGGCCGCACAGTGCCTCCAGCACCTCCAGCTCCAGGGTCAATAGCTCCAGCTCCTGTAGTCCTAGCGCCTCCGGCGCTAGCGCCTCCAACACCAACTACTCCAGCTCCAGCGCCTCCAGCGCCAGCAGCTCCAGGCTCCGTAGGGTCTCCAACTCCAGCGCACCCAAAACCACCAGTCCCGGTAGCTCCAGTACCAACGGTATGAGCACCTCCAGGACCATTAGTCGCAGTATCTCCAGCTCCAGGGTCTCCAGTCCCGCCAGCTCCGGGAGCTCCACTCTGACGGTGTGCGCGCTGAGACGACAGCTAACTGAACAGGCGCAGTACCAGGGAGAGGGTCTACTTGAGACACACCCGAGGGAGCAGGACCCTGGGGCGGGAGGGGGTCTACCTGAGGTGGACCGGGAGCAAGGAAGAGCGGCGGGGGCGGGGGAGGGGCAGAGCAGTATGGGAAGAGATGGTAGAAGGGAACCGACTCGTCAAACGTGACGTCCTGAGACAGGAGGACATGGCGCGAGGTGGGGTGGTAAAACTGCCAGCCAGGCTCGTCAGGGACAAAGCCAAGGAAGACGCAGAGAATGGCGCGGGCGGAGAGCTTGTCCGCGGACGTATCGCGAACAAAGGCACGAGAACCCCAGACCCGGAACACCGACGCATCGCCAACCTTCCCCGTCCAACGCAGTGTGGGCGAGGTCTCCGGCAAGGAGACACGGGGCCAAAGGTTGAGCTGATGCGCAGCGTACCGGACCGCAAACGGCCAAAGAAAATGGGAAGCGGCCGCATGGATCATGGAGGTACGAGCGACCTCCATGACTAAGCCAATGCGGTGCTCAGCAATCCCATTTTGCTGAGGGGAGTCCGGAAGCGTGAACGACTGGGTGATGCCCTCCCCACGACAAAAGTCCCGCAAGAGGTCGGACGAGAACTCACCACCTCTGTCAGAGTGCAGACGCAGGACAGGAAGGGCCTGGCCGAACCGCTCGCGGAGCTGGAGACGGACTGTGCGGATCCAAGGGATCAAGACAGCAGAGACCTCACCCTTGCTGTGCAAGGGGAAGACTGTGGTGTACCGCGTGTAGTCATCAACTACCAGCAGAAAGTAGCGCTCGCGGCCCTGTCCACTGACGCGGGCTGGGCCCCACACGTCCATGTGGAGAGTCTGCAGGGGAGCAGTCGTCGGGGGAAGCGAGGAGGAGTGAGGAGCGGCGCGCTGCCGCCCCTCGACGCAAGGAAGGCAGGGCGGGGTAGGCGAGGGTGGTAAGGGAGGCAGAGACCTGGGGAGACCAGACAAGGAGACAGGAGTGCGTGCCACGAAGGCGTGGCAGGGAGGGGTGGCCCAGGCGGTGGTGCCAAAGAAGAGTCTGGTGCGACAGGAGGCGACACGAGCAAGAGGCGGCTACCTTACCTGGCGCGGACACCTGCGCAGACGCAGCGACCTGAGGAGGCTCGGTAGCCAGCATGTATAGACTCGACCCTGGCCGACGAGTGAACGTAGCCAGGTGATGCCCCGTCCGTGTGCACGTGCAGATCGACACACGCTGACCCCCAGGAGTGGTGGTAGTGACCATCGCATCCTGAAGAGCAGCGGTACTCACCAAGTTCGTAGAGAACGAGGGGAGGTGAAGACCTGACAGTGAGCCGGACGGAAGCGCCAGACACGGGAGGACAGTGGAGGAACTGGCAACGACCGGGCCCCCAGAGGGGTCAGCCAGTCTGACCGGAACAGGTGCAGGGAGAGGAGTGAGAGTGGTGCTGTCACGAAAGAAACAGCGCGAGGCGCCGGAGTCCAACGTGAAGGTGTGCAAGGCCTCAGCAGGCGCAGTACCAGGGGGGGTACCAGACGCACTAGCACCTAGAGCAGCAGCCGCTATACCTGGGTCAGGTGGCACACACCAGTAACAGTCACCCTCAGCACTAAAAGACAAAGCATACATGGCAGAGATAATAACGTCATAGTCTAGGTCAAAGATAGGAACTCCTGACTGAAGCAACTGCGCCCAGTGAGGGCGCTCGACGTCGCCACCAAACTCAGTACGCCAGGCATCGTCAAGGCGGGAAAAGCAGCGGCGCTTAGTGTGATACTTCCCGCATGTCTGGCCCGCACGGACACCCGTGCGAATGACATACGGGCAGGTCTCACTACCCTCACCCGGCCCACGCTGAACCAATCACTCACGGAGCTGCTGGGGCGTCTGGGTCTCGCTCCGACGCTGCTGGTGCTGGCCCCGACCACCACCAGGGCCTGTGCGTCGAGGTCCAGACCTACCACCACTGGTCCCACCGCCTCCACTGCCGCCACTCCCTCCGCTGCCGCCACCGCCGCCACCAGAGCCTCCACCGCCGCCACTAGACCCACCACCTCCACCACCTCCACCGCCTCCACCTCCTCTACGGCCGCCCCCACTACCACTCCCACTGCCACCTCCACCACCACCGCTGCCTCCTCCACTACCCCGGCCACCCTTGCCCTTGCTGTTGCGGCGCTTCGCACTAGTCGAAGCAGCACCGACGTCCTCAGGAACTGAGACGTCTGCAGCAGCAGCAGTAGAGGCGAAGGGGGGGGAAAGGGGGGAGGGGGAGCACCCCTCAAAGAAGGGCGACCATGGAGTGCCACGAGCAGCACCTACAGCAACTGCACTAGTCTCAGCTGCGAGGAGATGCTGCTCGAGGAGGTCAACAGTGAGGGAGGTGGGGTCGAGGGTGAGGAAGTGGTCCCTGATAGAGCAAAGGGAGTCAGGGAGGCGAGTGACTATGAAGTAGAGGGTGATGAACATGGGGGGCTGGTTCATGGGAAGGAACTCAGCAGGGACGGTAGCGCGGTAGCGAGCGTCGCTAGTGCGCAGGTGGGTAACCAGGTCCGCTACTGTGGCAAAAGCCGACAGCTCAGGGAACAGGTAGGGCAGTAGCAGCCTGCCAATAGCAGCAGTGGCAGGGGAGGAGTAGCGAGCAGTGACAGCGTCGTACAAGGCCTGTGCTGTCCTGTGCTCGCCAAAGTGAGCACATTCGGTTGCGGGCAGGTGGTTGCGAATGGCCAAGCGGGCAGTAGCGGCACGAGACAGCCACTGGGAACGAGTCGAAACGTCAGTTGTGGCGGGAGGGGCTGGAGCGGCACCGGACACGTGGTCAAACAGTGAGACACTGTCCTTACTATCGCTTAGTAGGTACAGTTGCAGATCGTCGTGCCACATGTCAAATGCTACAAGTCTACCCTCCGGGTCGAACGGGAGAACTCTAAGCGACGCCATAGTGGCACAGGACTCGAGAGCAGCAGTAGCAGTAGCTAAGGGGCCAAGGGGCCAAATAAGAGGGCCAAGGGGCCGATGGGCCGAGGGGCCTAGGGGGGGCCGAGAGGCCTAGGGGGCCAAGGGGCCAAACAAGAGGGCCGAAGGGCCAAACACGAGGGCCGAGGAGGCCGAGGCTAGGGGCCGAGGCTAGGGGCCTAGGGGCCGAGAGGCGAGGCCGAGGGGCCAAACAGGGGGCCGGGCGCTGGGAAGGTACGGGGCCGAGGGGCCTAGGGGGGCCGAGGAGGCCGAGCCTAGGGGCCGAGGGGCCAAACAAGGGGCCGGGCGCGGGCTAGGTACGGGGCCGGGCGCTGGGCTCTGAACTGGGGCCGAGGGGCCAAACAAGAGGGCCAAGGTGGCCGAGAGGCTTAGGGGGGGGGGCGAGGGGCCAAACAAGAGGGCCAAGGTGGCCGAGAGGCTTAGGGGGGGGGCCGAGGGGCCAAACACGAGGGCCGAGGGGCGAAGCCTAGGGGTCGAGACTAGGGGCCGAGGGGCCAAACAAGGGGCCGGACGCGGGCTAGGTACGGGGCCGGGCGCTGGGCAGGTACGGAGTCGGGCGCTGGGCTCTGAACTGGGGCCGAGGGGCCTAGGGGGGGGGGGGGGCGAGGGGCCAATCACTAGGGCCTAGGAGGCCGAACCTAGGGTCCGAGGCTAGGGGCCGAGGGGCCTAGGGGCAGGGCCGAGGGGCCAAACAAGGAACGGGGCCGAGGGGCCAAACAATGTACGGGGCCGGGCGCTGGGCAGGTACTGGGCCGGGCACGGGCTGGGTACGGGGCCGGGCTCTGGGCTCTGAACTGGGGCCGAGGGGCCTAAGGGGGGGGGGGGGGGGGGGGGCAAGGGGCCAAACAAGGAACGGGGACAAAGGGCCAATCAAGGTACGGGGCTGGGTGCTGGGCAGGTACTGGGCCGGGCGCGGGCTGGGTATGGGGCCGGGCTCTGGGCTCTGAACTGGGGCCGAGGGGACTAGGGTGGGGGGGCCGAGGGGCCAAACACTAGGGCCGAGGAGGCCGAGCCTAGGGGCCGAGCCTAGGGGCCGAGGGGCCAAACAAGGTACGGGGCCGAGCGCTGGGCAGGTACTGGGCCGGGCGCGGGCTAGGAACGGGGCCTGGCGCGGGCGAGGTACGGGGCCGAGCGCGGGTGTCGACGGGGCGCGGGCGTGGGCTAGGTACAGGGCCGGGTCGCGGGCTAGGTACGGGTCGGGCGCTGGCGTAAGACAGGGCCGGGCGTGGGCTAGGTACGGGCTGGGCGAGGGCGAGAGAAGGGGCCGGGCGCGGGTGTCGACGGGGCGCGGGCTAGGTACGGGCCGGGCGCGGGTGTCGACGGGGTGCGGGCTAGGTACGGGCCGGGCGCGGGTGTCGACGGGGCGTGGGCTAGGTACGGGCCGGGCGCGGGTGTTGACGGAGCGCGGGCTATGTACGGGCCGGGCGCGGGTGTCGACGGGGCGTGGGCTAGGTACGGGCCGGGCGCAGGTGTCTACGAGGCGCGGGCTACGTACGGGCCGGGCGCGGGTGTCGACGGGGCGCGTAAAATGTACTGCTGATTGTTTACGTTTGAGCAGAGTGGCAAAGGTCGGCCTTGGTACGATCGACGACATTATAATAATGACAGATACAAATGCATGCCAGCAGGCCAAGAAGGGGTGCACCCCAGAATATGCAAGGAGGCCTCTACCAAGGCGTTCATGCAAGGGCGCTGGATTCAGCCACAGAGGAAGGCAGCCACCGTAGGCTTCTGCTGCAGAGTGAGAGTGAGCCAGGGGCCAAAATCCTCCTTGGCTGCCGGGCGGTGGGCCGTAGCCTTCACGCGAGAGGTGTGCAGCTCGGACTGAATGTGAAGCATGGCATTGTCGAGGGCAGCGCCACAGGTGAAATCGCATAGCGCACATGTCCACGTCTCGACCTTGCCTGCGTGGGGGAGAGCATTCAGAAAGGGGGGGAGCATCCAGAAGGGGAGCAAGGTTGGATAAGGGCCCAGCCACAAGGGGGGCGGGGATAGCTGAGGACTGCAGGGGAGGGGGGTGAGGAGAGTGTTGGTACAACTCTATGGTTTGCATTCGGCTTGTTGTCCGTGTGCGTGCATGAGTGTGTGCATGGAATGGTATGAGGGCATGAGATAATATATATTTCATGCTTACAATAGTGTGTGAATGATGAGGCATGATTTTGAATGTGTGTGTCGAGTCAATAGTGAGGTATCGCTAGTCGCGTGTCACGTCGTCGTTTGCGTGTCGTGTGCGGTTTTCTATTTTGTCGTGTGTGGAACGTTCGGCGTGACGCAGGTGTGCGCAGGAGACTTCCAAGAATCCAAGGAAGAATTTATTTTGAAGAACTAGAGCCTTGGTTTCAAGATTCAAGTGATTTCGAAGCTCTCCAAAAGGGTAAACTTCAAGATAGTGAGAATAGTTACATTACTTTGTGTAGTGTAACATTTCTCTTGGTGTAGGCCCTTGTGGAGGGTATTTTTGAGACCCTTCGTGGTTGGGGACAGTGTGGCACTGTTCCACATCACTGTACATCGGCTCTTGGGGTTTGTAGAGGCTGGGAGTCATTCCCAACCCGTAACTCCTCCTAATTTGTGTTCTAAGACTATAGTGGCTGCCATAGTGCCGTTTGTTCAAACTGATGCTGTGTCGTCAATTCTTAATGAAATTGTGCGATCAAAATTACCTAGTGTAGGCGATATCAAGAAGCTCCAGATCCAATTTATAGCAAGTCATTTGAAGCTTTGAAAAGAATGCTATCAACGTTTGAAGCCGCTCTGCAGAAATCCGTTAGTGCACTCTATCTTTCGTTTTAGGCACATTCAAGCCTATTGTGACTATAACAGAGAGTTCAGTCGGGGGGAGATGGAGCAGGCAGAGGAGGGTTCCCGGGGGGGGGGGCTGTTGGCAGGGAGGGGCGAGAGTGGGGGGAGAGAAGAAGGGTGAGGTGAATACAGTGGGGAGAGGTGGGCCAAAGCTCAGGCGAGAGGAGGGGGGGTGAGCCCCAAGGGGAGGGGCTGGAGTGGATGAGGTTCGGGGGGGGGGGGGGGGGGGGGAGGGGCTATGGGGGAGAGTAGTCTGTAGAGAGAGGCAAGGGTGGGGGGGGGGGGTGAGAGGGTGGGGTAAGCTCGTGGCAATGCAGGGGTCCCACCGCTGGGGGGGCAGGAGGGGATGAGACATTGGGCATAGGGGGGTTAAGAGTGGGGCTGCTGGGGGGGAGTTCCACGGGAGCGCGTTGACTGCGGGGCGGTGGGGAGGCAGGGATAGAGTGAAGGGGGGTGGTGGGCTTAAGTGATCGTGGCGGCCCAGCAGCTGGGAGGGCAGAGGGGGATGAGGCAACAATGGGACAGAGCAGGGTGGGTGAGAACTGTAGCTCTGGAAGAGCGGGGAGGTATTGTAACAGGTGGGGGGAGATGTCGAAATGGAGAGCCGAAAGGGGAGTACAGGGGGACCAGAGCGGTAAGGCAAGGAGAAGGTGAGGTAGCATAGCTGGGAGGGCAGAGGGGGATGAGGCAGCAATGGGACAGAGCAGGGTGGGTGAGAAATGTAGCTCTGGAAGAGCGGGGAGGTAGTGTAATAGGGGGGGGGAGATGTCGAAATGGAGAGCGGAAAGGGGAGCACGCGGGGACCAGAGCGGTAAGGCAAGGAGAAGGTGGGGTAGCATAGCTGGGAGAGATTATCGAGGAGCGTACCATTTGCCTTCTGCAGCTGCGCGACTGAGATCACGTTCCGGTTCGTGAGGCGCTGCCGGCGGCGGGCTGCGAAAGCCTCGTGATCAGACGTGCGGTGGTTGTTGGCACACAGTGAGCATACATGACAGGAAACGTTGAGCAGCATGGGAGGTTTGTTATCCTCCAGCGGGATTTCGGATGGGATGCGCTCGAAGTTGGGGTCGTCGAGGGTGGCGATGGGAAGCCCTGCAAGGTGAGTGAAATACGTGTCCTCGTAAGGATCCGAAGCGCGGTGGAATTCCGTCAAATCCGCCAGCTAGCGCGAGCCATCCGACTCGGTGGAGCTGAGGAGATAAGTGCGGATACCCTCTGGATCGAAATCCAGAGGGACATTGCGAATAGATAAGGTAGGTGCACCGGCTGCCTTGGCAGCGGTGAAGGCCTCAAGCGTGTCTTCGAAAACCTTAAGCAGAAAGGGGTGGGAGTTGGAGACTTTGAGGGTGAGGGGGAAGAGCTTTCGGAAGGCCGCCGCATCGTCCTGCGACGGCCATGAGAAGAGCAGGCGGCCATACACCCGGCGGGCCACACGGTAGGGGTCCCCAATGGTCTGCTCGAAGGAAGGGATAATGCCAGATGAGAACATAAAGCCACACACCTGCGCATTGATACCAGCGAAAATTTCAGAGCGTTGAGACTCCAGCCCGGCTTTCGGGAGGAGAACATTGACTACCATGCGGCGGCACATGCGGAAAGGCAATGGGACAGCAGCATCCGTGCGCGCGCGCCGCAGATTACGGGGGGCGCCGCCCGGGGTGGGCGAGGCGAAGAGCGAGGCGGGCAGCGCGGGAGCCAGGTTGGAGCCTGAGGCGACGGACGCGTATGTGGTTGCGCGGGTTACCGGGCTGTTGGGAGATGCTGCAGTTGCAACCAGCGACGGTGCCAGGCCAAACGAGGGCGCAGAGAGAGCGGCGATAGTGAGGGGCACGGGAGAGTGTGCAGGGAGCGCCGGGACCGAACCGGAGGAGGTGGCGGGGGAAGGATTGGGGGCGGGACTGGCGTCAGGAACCATACACGACTTCTTTGCAGCAGGGAGGTCAGCGGGATCTGCGAGGTGGTGGAACATGCCTTCGGGCAGATCGTCCACAGCAAGGTCATCCCTAGAGGCACCGAGGGCCTCCTCTTCGGCAGCGGACATGGTGTGGTCGGGGTTGTAGATCTGCGCAGCCATGGTGCAGGATGAGTAGGAGAAGCGTGGGGGGTTGTAGATTGTGAAGTGAATGCAAGAAGAAGACAAAGGTCCATTATATGTAGAGCGAGAGAGCGAGGCCCCGTGAGGGGATGAAGGGGCAATAGGCAAAACGGGCAGCATGAGCTCCTGATAAGCAAGGGACCGTGAGCGCAAGGGTCCCAAGAAGAAACGTGGGCGGGGGATGTGCGGAGAGCCAACGGGAAGGGGGTGGACGAGGAGAGCGGGGAGGACAGAGAGGTTACGGTAATTACGGTGCTGTGGCGACGGGATTAAGGCCATGAAACGGGGCTGGGAGCCTAGTCGGCTTCCTGAAACCCGGGACCTTACGAGGGTCCAGACGCATCCGAGCGAGAAGTGAAAATGGCGGCCTAGGTGGCGCGCCGAGCTTCCAAGCCGTATTAGTGGCACAGCCGGAGGTGGCCAGGGAGGGAAACGTAGGATGGCAGCACCAAGCTGGCAGAACGCGGGAACAGAGTTGAGGTCAAAGGCGCCATGAGGGCCGAGGCACGGTAGGGAGAGGAGAAGGAGTCGAGGAGCCGGAGATGGCGTTACGTGGGAGCGAGTGGATCCCGCCTGATAAGAGGGAGGGAAAGCGGGGGTAAGGTTAGCCAGCAGCCTGTAGTGTGGGCTGACAAGCTATCCTTCGTGATTGTTGTAAGGTTGGTCGGGGGAGGGCGATCAGTTGGCGTGGGCTTCGAACTTGCACAAACAAGGGTCCTCCTGGAAGAAGGGGGAGCAAAAGGGGGAGTGTGGGAGTTCCCGTGGTGGATTGGGTGGCGTGGAAGGAGTGCGTTGGCAGGATGACGCGAGGGTTTGTGCAGGGATTTACGGCGAGGGAACGGAGCTTCTGCAGGATCGGAAAAACTTACCTGGCGGGAATGTTGTCCTGGGGGGCTGAAGACGAGAGGATGTCCAACCGTGGAACGTTGAGCAGGGAAAACTTCAGCGGTTGAGAGAGATGAGAAGGGGGCTGAGAGGGGGTCGAAGTCCTCCTTGAGTGGGGTCGAAGTGGGGTGTAGGTGAGAGAAAACGCAACTTGCCTGGAAACAAAACTGAGTCGAGTAGAGGGAACCTGCCTAGGCGACCTAGGGTTTGACAGGTTTTGCTGCCTAACGGGCGGAAAGTTGGGGCCACGAAGGCCATCGCTGCTGGCTCAGAGTTTGGAGGGTTCTTCTCTGGTTGTGGATACTCTCCTGCGTGGCTAGCTGCAATATCGGAGGAGCTAGGATGACGAGTGGGTTCCTGCTCCTAGTCTGAATCTGAGGTCGATATCCGTTTTGGTGTTGGGGAGGTTCTTGAACCTGTGTGGGCGAATTTCAGCCAACCAAAAGATTTGGGAGCAGAATTTCGGATTTCGAGGTGTCTTCCTTCTGCTCAACATGTCTTCCTACTACTACACCACATTGAGATTCACTCAAACTCTCTGAACTAAGGTGGAGTCGGGTAAAAAGCGTTCATGAATTCAATTTCTTGATCTCATACTTTCTGCTGGGGCATTTACACTTGGTAATGACAAACGGGAAACGAATCATTCTTCCACACCATTTGCACACATGGCACTCGGCGATTTCCCGCCACCGTTCTATTGCTAGCTCTCCAATTGGCTAGCGAGAAATTGGGTGGTGTTGCTGCGAAAGTCGTGAATCTCGAAGGGGGGTTGAGGTGATGCGGGAAGGGGGAAGAAATTGGGGAACAAGAGAGGCACCCCTGTCAAACTTATATGCTATAGTCTGTTTAGGCTGTAGTGGGGTAGTTCATATAGGGTACAACACTTTTAGGTTTCCTACTTGTACCCTCCTGCTTGCTAGTTCATTCACTTCGTTCACAATTCTGACATGGTATTCGAGCAGGTTCCCGAGTGGGAACGTTTTTTTTAGGGCCAACCACGATTTTTTTTTCCTGCCCTGCCCGAAGCGCGCCTCTCGCCCTGCCCGAAGCGCGCCTCGCGCCCTGCCCTAGTACGGCCCGTCACGGCCCTGCCTTAGCTGCCCCGTCGCGGCCCTGCCTTAGCTGCCCCGTCGCGGCCCTGCCTTCGCCACCCGTCGCTGGCCCGTAGCCGCTCGTCGCGGCCCTGCTTTTGCCGCCCACTGCGGCCCTGCCCTGCAGCCGCCCTGTCGCGGCCCTGCCTTTTGCCGCCCGTCGCTGGCCCGTCCCGGCCAGTCCCGGCCCGTCGCCGGCCCGTCCCGGCCCGTTGCCGCCCGTCGCTGGCCCGTAGCCGCCCGTCGCTGGCCCGTCGCCGCTCGTCGCGGCCCTGCCTTTGCCGCCCTGTCGCGGCCCTACCCTGCTGCCGCCCCAGTTGCGGCCCTGCCTTCGCCGCCCGTCGCGGCCCTGCCCTGCTGCCGCCCCAGTCGCGGCCCTAACCTAAACCTCCGGCTGCGGCCCTGCCCTGCACCCGCCCCTGGTAAGCACCCGTGCCGCCCTGCCGCGCCGCGCCACCAGGGGCTGAGCCGCGCCGCCAAGCCGAGCCGCGCCGCCCAGCCGAGCCGCGCCGCCCAGCCGAGCCGCGCCGCCCTGCCGAGCCACGCCGCCCTACCGAGCCGCGCCGCCCTACTGAGCCGCACTGCCCTACCTGCACTGCTCCTGCTGCTACTGCTGCTTCTACTGCCACTGTTACTACTACTGCTTGTTGGTGCAACCCTACGGTTTGCATTCGGCTTGTTGTCCGTGTGCGTGCATGCGTGTGTGAATGGAATGGTATGAGGGCATGAAATGATATATATTTCATGCTTTCAATAGTGTGTGAATGATGAGGCATGGTTTTGAATGTGTGTGTCGAGTCAATAGCGAGTTATCGCTAGTCGCGTGTCACGTCGTCGTTTGCGTGTCGTGTGCGGTTTTCTATTTTGTCGTGTGTGGAACGTTCGTCGTGTCGCAGGTGTGTGGGTGCCCAACCTTGCTGCCAACCTGATTTCCGTGCGGCGGTTGCAAAAGGCCGGCATGGACACGAGCTCGAAGGGAGCTAAGACCTACACCGCGAGGCTTGGTGAGCGGATTCTTTGGGACCTTCACGAGGATAGGGATGTCTACAATGAGATGTGGCAGATCCCTGTGGTCCCCATGCCTAAGGAGAGGCAAGTGGCAGCAAGCATCAGCACCAAGGGTGAAGCGGTTGGTAGCGGCGATGGCGCGAACGGTCGTGCTAAGGAGATTGAGTCCAAGAAGTGCAATCTTGGAGGGACCAGCAAGCTCGGTGAACATGAGGAGAGTGGTGCAGCAGCCAAGAAGCAGCACAAGGGTGAGGAGAACCTCAAGGCAGCAGCGGAGGAGGAGTACGGAGAGAGCATGTGGGGCACTATTGCGAGTGCGGCATTCTCCAATCCGACTTCGGCTACGGGGGAGTGTGATTGGCTCACCTTGCATCGGCGCATGGGGCATGTGGCCCTGCCCATCTTGCAGCAGCTAGTGAAAAATGAGATGGTTGCTGGCATACGTGTGAAGGGGGAGCCCGATGAGGTACTTGGCTGCCCGACGTGCATGCAAGCCAAGTTCACCCGTTACCCGTTCTCTAGTTCGGAGGCAACGGCTAAGGCACCACTTGATGAGGTGGTGATGGACGTGGTGGCCCCCCTGAAGCTTGGAGCTGCTGGAGCTGAGTACTTTCTCACCATTGTGGACGTCTACACTCGCATGACTTGGGTGTACGTGCTGTCCAAGAAGAGTGACGTGGCTGAAACGGTGAAGACCGATTGGTTGCCGATGGTGGAGCGGCAACAAGACCGGTTAGTGAAGGCAATTCGCACCGATCGAGGGGGAGAGTTCCTGAGCAAGGAGTTCTCATTGTGGCTGAAGAAGAATGGCATAAGGCACTCCCTTACCATGCCATACTCCCCTGCAATGAACGGCATCGCCGAGCACCGGAAAATCACGGAGACGGTGCGTGGGTTGCTCATTGAAGCCGGGCTACCCGAATATTTCTGGCCTGATGCGGTGCAGAGTGCGTGTGTGGCCAAGAACAGAGCCTTGACTCATGTGGGAGCAGACAAATGGGTGCCCTATGTGGAGTGGATTGGAAGGAAGCCAAAGGTGGATATGCTTCGGGTGTTCGGGTGCATGTGCATGGCGCTCGTGCCTAAGCATCTTCGGCACAACAAGCTCGGTGCCAAGGCAATATGGGCTGTGCACTTGGGCATGGCTCAAAACAGCAAGGGGTGGCTTCTTTGGGACCCATTCACCAAGAAATTCTTGGTGAGCAGGGACTGCAAATTCATGGAGAATCTGATGTACAAGGATTGGAAGGCGGAGAATGAGGCAAAGATAGGCATGCGGTTTGGGGAGGTGAAGAGTTCCGGTTTGGAGCATGTGGAGCTGCCCTTGGAGCTGAGCAGCAGCAGCACCACCACAAGGCAATCTTCCCTTGTGAATGGGGGAGAGGAGGTCAAGGATGCAGAGGAAGAAGAGGAGGAGGTGCAGCAAGTGAGCGAGCGTGCACCGACACTTCCTTCTCGCACTACGAGTGCTCCACGGATCCGAGTCACCCCGCAGCAACGCCAAGGCCTTCACGTCCCTGCAGCTGAGGAGGAAGGAAGGGGCAAGAGGAGAATCCAAGCCCTTAATAGGCTGACCTATGATGCATTGGGAAGGCCAGCCAAGTCAGCTCTGGCCGGAGCGGCACTTATAGTTGGAGATGACGAGGAGAGTGACTACGACGAGTGTGCCTTCGTGTTCTTCTCTCCGGTGGAGATGCCGGGAGAACCAACAACTCTCAAGGAGGCCTTGGAGAGTAGTGATGCTGAGGAGTGGAAGAAGGCAATGGAGAGTGAGCTGAAAAGCATTGAGGAGAACGGCATGTGGGAATTGGTGGAGCTACCGGAGGGGCGTAAGGCGATTACGTCCAAGTGGCTCTTCAAGATCAAGTCCGATGCCGATGGCAAAATCGAGCGCTACAAGTCTAGGCTTGTGGCCAAGGGGTACCAACAGAAGGAGAAGGTGGACTATAAGGAGTTGTTTGCTCCTGTGGTGAAGCCGACGACGCTGAGAACCCTACTCGCGGGTGCTGCCATCAAAGGATGGGTGGTGAAACAAATGGACGTGACAACCGCATTCCTCAACGGCGTCCTAGAGGAAGAGATTTTCATGGCGCAGCCAGAGGGGTTCGATGATGGTAGTGGCAGAGTTTTGAAGCTGAAAAAGGCCCTTTATGGACTGAAGCAGGCCCCTAGGCAGTGGCACTTGAAGTTGCGAGGAGTTTTGGAGGAGATCGGCTTCACTCCCTCAACGGCCGATCACTCATTGTTCATGCTTGGCGAGTGGGAGCAGAGGAGTTTCATGGTGGTTTATGT